ACAGTAAGGAGGAGTCTCACAGACATGCCTAAATGATCATCTGGTAGACATTCTCTTGTATTCCCAATTATGTTGCCAGCATCTTGAGGTCATAACTTATATTTTATTGTTTGTGTCCATACCTGGAGTATATATATAATTGTGTGATGAACTGATTGCCTCTAGTATGACTCTTCTTTGGTCAAGTTGCCTGTTTCCTTATGACTATACTGATCTCTTTAGGCAAAAGAACCTAATAACTGTAGTCTAGTGCTTATTCCTATGGCTGACTTTTTCAAACTTTCAAATCTTTCTGGAAGCATAATGGTTAGATTTCACCCTTATAGGTTTATAAACGTAAATAGCAAAATATTCTGTTATCAAGCCTTCCTTTTTCTTTATTTTAGTCTCTATACTAAAAATAGATGTACTCTCAGGAGTGGGGTGGTTCGGGAGTCCTTAGCACCCACTTGTACCCAAGAACACCCTCCAAAATAAACATGCAATGACACTAAAAACAGTGTATTTGCTATGCAAATTTACCTTAAAGAGAAAGTCTCCTGGCCTCCTTTCATCCAGGGAGATTGTTGTCCATGAGCTCCTCTTAAAAAAAAATCTGGAAGTACCACCAGCTATCAGCAGATCAGCAAAGTGCAGACATAAATTATATTAAGGGAAGAAGGAAAGGTAACTTAAAGGAAAGTGTCCTCTGTAGCCTTTCCTCCCCTTCCCGTGATAAGAGCTGTGATGAGAGCTGGTACCCAGGAGCGTTCTCCCTGGACATCTCAGTTCTCCATCTTAGATTATGGGTAGTCTGTGTCTGGATCATAGCTAAGCATTGACGACTGTTCATACAAGGTGTGGTGCTTTATCTCCCGCAACAGTCTGAGTCCCTGGGAAATTAAGGCACACACTCAAACGTCTTTTACGATAGGTAGCCATTTCCTTAAAATCGCAAATGAAGATCAGGTCATTGTTTGAGCTTAGTTTGCACATCTAATCTGAGGACTCAGAGAATGCACAAGAATATGTCGGGTACCAAATTTACTTAGGTGATCTAGGGTATGAAAGGAGCAGCAGGGCAAGAAGAGAAATTGGGGACTTTGGCGAATTGTATTCAACAAACATTTACTGAATGGCAGGCACACTGGCTGAGCTTTGTGATTATGACAGTGACTCAGGTGTGGTCCCTATTATCACAGCGTTTTCAGAGTGAAATGGAAGAGCCAGAAAAGACAAGCCATTATGCTGCGATGTGCTCTTAAAGAGGCAACGATGGGGGCTCACACCAGGGCACCTGACCGTTTTGGGAGGTCAATGAAGGCTTCCAAGACAAAGAATTGCTAAGTTCCTACAAGAGGAATGAAGAAAATTTGCTGGACAAGAAGGAGAGAAAGGTACTATAACAAGAACAACCAGTACAAAGGCCCAAGAGCATTGAACAAGTTCAAGGAATAAATCCCTTCAGTATCTGAGTAAAGACATTGCCAGGAAGGAATTGTCTCACGGTTGTACTAATACTAGTAGCAGTAGTAATAATAATAATGATAAGAAGAAGAAGAATAATTGTGATTGCTAATATTTACTACCTTCTCATATGGCATGCACTGAGCTAATAGTTTTACACTCGTAGCTGCTCTTCATTGTAAACACTCCATTAGATAACACCCATACATATCATTGTGTCTTCACTAGTCATTCTTTTTGCTTCAATGTAGTTTTCTTGTTTTGTTCTGTTAACTGATATGCCTGGTCTCTATGTTTTCTTAATTTTGCTTGCCTCCAAAAGGTCTACAACTAAGCAATGTGGTTCCCCTGGTCTGCCTAGAGAGAGGATAGCAGAACAAAGCAATGACTACTTCCCAGCAGCAGGCCCAGGCCCTCTCAGGTGTGAATTAACTAGTCTATTATAATCAGAAAACCCTGATCAAATTCTAGAGTCACTTTTGCAGCCATACTTCTCTTGTATTATTTTTTTCTCAAGTTGAACTTTTCCCAACGAATATTTTTATAAGTTTTTATTTGCTTTTTTTTGGGGGGGGGCGGGGGGAGGGGCCCCATTGGCTTTTCACCAACTTTTAGGTTCCTTTGTATTAAACCCCTGTCTGTTTTTTTTTAAAATATATTTTATTGATTTTTTACAGAGAGGAAGGGAGAGAGATAGAGAGTTAGAAACATCGATGAGAGAGAGACATCGATCAGCTGCCTCCTGCACATCTCCCACCAGGGACGTGCCCGCAACCCAGGTACATGCCCCTGACCGGAATCGAACCCGGGACCCTTCAGTCCGCAGGCCGACACTCTATCCACTGAGCCAAACCGGTTTCGGCCTGTGTTTTTTTTTTTTGTAACACCTTCCAATTTAGTATCATTTGCAAATTTCATTAACATTCTATTTACTCCCTCTTCCAGATCATTAATAAATGCTATTTCTTATGTATGAAATTTTGTGGTCGAATAGATTTAATTTGCTGTTGTAATTTCAATGCATGTTTTCTAAAGATACAATGCAGTTAAGAAGGGTCTTAACCTAGGCTTAAATCCATACCCAGTTTATAGTTATTTTCCTATCATGCCATCTATTTGTGTTCTCTAATCAGCACTGTTGTGAGCTTCATTGAAGCAATAATCTATTGATTTTCTCTTCCCTCTTTTTCAATACAGTCATCATCTTGGCTTTAAATGCACAGCAATAGCAGAGTTAGAACTATTGTTATATTCTAATCCATAGCTA